TCTTACAGGCCTGCACATCCCTTCATTCTCACGGAACCTAGTTGGTGTCGGCTGCCTTCAGGACCTCGGCGTCACCAATACGTTCCCTGGTCACGAGAGGTACGCTGTCTGTACCGAAGCTGCCATTGGTGCCCCCCTCACGACGTTCCCCCGGGACCCGGTGTCTGGCCTATTCACGCTGGACACCAGGTCCCCCCCGGTTGGGACGCCCCCCCAGGTGGCAACCTCTCCCCAGGTTGCTGCGGCTTGCTTGTGTCAGTCGCTTACTCACCCGTCGCTTCTGTGGCACCACCGCCTAGGTCACCCCGCCCTCACACGTCTCCATCACATGTCTCAGCTACGTCTTAGGTCTCCCTGCGTCGTTCCCTTCACTCCCCTCCTCGGCAGCGCCGCCATGCACCCCCTGCGTCGAGGGCCGGCTCTGCTGTGCCCCTCACTCCTCCTCGTTCCCCCCCACCACAGCACCACTGCAGACCCTGCACATGGACGTCTTGGGCCACGTCCATGGGCCGCGTCCTGAGCGCTACTTCCTAGTGCTTGTCGACGACTACACGCGCTACACCACGGTGTTTCCCCTGGAGCGGAAAGTCGACGTGCGTGGCGTTCTTATCGCGTGGCTTGTCTCTGTGTGTGTTCACCGAGGTCTCCCTGTGTTGTGTCTTCACTCCAACCGTGGTGGCGAGTTTCCTCTGGCTGCCTTGGTCACTTCTGTCGTGCGGAGGGCATCACCCAGTCGTACACCCTGCCGGACTCCCCGCAGCAGAATGGGTATCGGTTTGGTCATGGAGGTGGCTCGTACCTCCATGATCCATGCCGGTGCACCTAATTTTCTGTGGTCATTCGCTGTTTGCTACACCGCCCACCAGCTTAACCTGTGGCCGCACCCTCAGCGGTCGCGGATTTTGCCGACCCTACTCTGGACCAAGTCTCCTGGTGACGCGTCTGCGTTCCACGTCTGGGGCTGCCTTGCTCACGTTCGTGCCTCTGGCATGGACAAGCTCACAGGCCGCACTATCCCCTGTGTCTTTCTAGGTTTCCCCCTCGACTCGTCTGACTGGCAATGCTACCATCCGTCGTCTCACCGTTTCTTTCACTCCCGCGACGTCACCTTTGACGAGTCCGTCTTCTTCTACCACCGCTTTCCCCACCGTGGTCCCCTGGTTACCAGCCCCCTGTTCCTTGTTCCCCCTCCCCCGGTCGCCCCTGCTCCCCCCCGTCCCTGCCCTTCCCCGTCTGGTGTGTCTCTGGTACCCCCCTCCCGTCGGTTGTCCCTGCCGAGGAGTCTGCTGACTCTTACGGCTCGGCGGAGTCCCTTCCACCGCCTGTCCCCGCCCCGGTCTCTCGTCCCTTGTCGCCGACGTTGCTGTCGCTGTCGCAGCCGCAGCCGCCTCCGCAACTGTCGTCGCCGCCCCAGCCTCAGTCGCCGTTGTTACCGCCGCTGGGGTTTGTGCGTTCTGGGGGTGCTGGGGAGCGTGCCAGAGTGGGTACTGGAGCGGGTTCCCGTTCTGGGGGTGCTGGCGTGGAGCTTCTTAGAGGGAGCCGTGGTGCCGCTGGAGGTTTAGGTGTCCACTCTTCGCCTACTCGGCCTTCCTTCCCCTGACCGCCCGTCGGTGCCTCCTCCGTCGCCACCGCCTCCTCCACTGCTGATCTACGGCCCTGTGTTTCCTCCAGCGGACTCTTCTCCATCTCGTTTTCCTCCTCGTTCTCCTCCTGTGTCTCCTCCCCTCACTCCTGACCTGACTCCTCCGTCTCACGTCTGGGCTCGTCATTCGCTCGTGCTCGTCCTACCTCCCCTGTTCCACATTCTCACCCTATGTTGCTTCACTCCCACGCATCTCGTGCTCCTCCGCTCCTCCCATCTCCTCCTCTATCATCACTCGCTGTCGCCCCGCCTCCGTTCTCTGACTTCCTCCGTGCCGGGCATCCCCTTATTCCTCGTGTCCTTGCCTCTCTTGTTACCGACGCGTCCGTTCCTGTCTTGAGTCTGTCAGCTCTTGTTGCTGCTGTCACTGACTTCGCCGCTACCCGCCACCTTGACTACGCCACTGCTCTGGTCCCTGACCCTGCCTGCCCTCCGTCCGTCGGGGGTGTGGCTGCCCTTGGTAGTGACGTCCTAGAGGACAGACAGTACGAGCTTACTTTCCTATCAGAGGCTGCTCTCCATCTCTGTTCCATGCTGCTAGTCCCTGAGGGTGACCCAGACGCCCTTGACATCCCGACCGCTCGCACTTACGCTGAGGCCACCTCAGGACCTGGACCTCTCAGTGGATAGCTGCGATGGAGCAGGAGATGGTATCTTGGAGATCCACCGATGCCTTCGTCGACACAATTCCCCAACCTTGGGTGAACGTAGTCGATGGCCGATGGCTCTTCAAGGTGAAGCGCCCTCCTGGGAGAGCCGCCTGTCTTCAAGGCGCGTTACCTTGCTCGTGGCTTTAGTCAGCGTGAGGGTGTTGACTTCTTTGAGACCTTCGCCCCGGCCTTGAAGATGACTACTCTTCGGGCACTGCTACACGTAGCAGCACAGCGTGACTACGAGTTGCACTCCCTCGACTTCTCCATAGCTCTCCTTTAGGGCAGTCTACATGAGCAGGTCTACCTGCGCCGCCCCCAGGGCTTCTCCGGTACCTTTCCCCCTGGTACCGAGTGGCTCTTCTGGCGCCCCGTCTACGGTCTGCGCCAGGCGCCCCGCAAGTGGCACGACACGCTGCGTGCTACACTTGCTGACCTGCAGTTGTTCCCATCGTCTGCAGACCCCTCACTCTTCGTCCGTTCCGGCCAGACTTCGTTCTACATTCTTGTTTACGTAGAAGATCTGGTCTTTTCTACTGCAGACAGAGACGCGCTGGCCTCCGTGAAGTCCGAGCTGCTAAGGAGACACACTTGCACTGACCTTGGAGAGCTGCGCTGCTACCTTGGCTTGCAGATATCCAGGGACAGAGCCGCGCGCACCATCACTCTCACACAGTCACACTTGGTGCGACACGTCCTTCAGAGGTTTGGCCTTCAGTTCTCTTCCGCACAGCCCACCCCTCTGCTAGTAGACCACAGACTCTCTGCTCCAGTCCCTGAGGAGGTTCTAGAGCCTAGTGGTCCTTACGCAGTGCTGGTGGGTTGCCTCGTGTACCTAATGACTTGCACTCGTCCAGATCTCGCATACCCTCTCAGCATCTTGGCCCGCTTTGTGGCCTCCGGCAGACACTGACCACAGCACTGGTCTGCAGCTAAGAGGGTTTTGCGTTTTCTAGCGAGTACATCGGGCATGGGGTTAGTGCTAGGAGGACGCAAGCCATTGGTCCTTATCGAGCACACTGACGCTTCTTGGGCGGACGACGCCGAAACTCTCAGGTCCTCCCAGGGCTTCTACTTTAGCCTTGGTGCAGGTGATGTCTCATGAAGGTCCACCCGCTCGTCTTCTGTTGCCTATTCTAGCTGTGAGGCTGAGATCTACGCCGGCGCCATGGCGGCACAAGAGCTCTGCTGGCTGACTTTCTTGCTCACAGACTTAGGTGAGTCGCCTAGCTCTGCCCCGGTCCTGTACGCTAACAACATGGCCATGATCCTCCTGTGTCAGGAGCCCAGACTCGAGGGCAGAGCGAAGCACATCCAGCTGCAGTACTTCCTCCTGCGTGCGTTACAGCAGCGTCGCCAGGCCCGCATAGTACACTTGGCCTCCGGTGCCAACATAGCTGATATCTTTATGAAGGCACTTGCGCCTAAAGATCATCAGCGGCACTGCGTACACCTCGGTCTCGTGCCTGTAGCACCTTATTTGTTAGGACCTTGATTGTGTATAACTCTTTATATATTATCCTGACTGGCCTTGTGGCTTTCTCCCAGTGGGTGGACTAGTAGTGCCGCCCTGGTCTTGATCTTGCCTTGTTTGTACTCTTTTGACTGGTCTTTAGACCCCTGCCTCAGAGGTTGGACTAGTAGTGCCGCCCTGAGCTGTTGTCTCTCACCAGGCACTGCCCCTATCTAGTCTAGGGGGTGTGTCTAACATATGTGTGTATGTTTAGTAGACTACATAGGGTCATGCAATAGAGAGTACAACCCATTAGCTATATAACCCTGTATGCTCCCATTCTAGTCATTCATTCTAACTTTGATACTAGTTGCCCAGCGGTCATCATGATATCTCGGCGATGAAGGTCTGTATAGCGTAAGCTGCTGTGTTGGATTTTTTAATAAATTCGATCGCTTTTTCCTGGGCGGTTTGTAAGTGGGTCACAAACTGTTGGGAACGGGACACGGGGTTGTGGATGTGAGTTGTCGTCGGTATGGTGGCATCCATCCCGTAGTTGAGGAAAAACGGCGAGTGATTAGTCACAGCAGATAGGGTAATGTTGTAGGAAAATTCTAGCATGGGCAGGAATGCTTGCCATCCGACAGTATCTGGGCAGTTGGTGCGAATCAGCTGCTCCATGGTCTGATTGGTGCGGTCAGTTTGTCCGTCGGTTTGTGGGTGGTAGGCGGATGAGAATTGTAGGCGGGTGCCGTACTGTTCCTATGTCTCGTGCCAGAACTTAGACGTAAACTTGGGGTCGCGGACGCTGATTATCGCCGATGGTAGGCCGTGTAGACGAACAATGGTGGAGATGAAAAGCTTTGCGGTATCTTCGGCTGTGATTGTCATGCGACAGGGTGCAAAATGTGCCATCTTCGTCAGACGATCGACGACGACGAGGACGGCGTCGTTGCCATTACCATTGGCCGGAAGTCCTGTGACATAGTCCATCATCACGTGTTGCCACGGTTGCTGGGGTGGCTCGAGCGGTTGCAGCAGTCCAGCTGGCCGCTGTCGAGAAGACTTCATGCGCTGGCAGCTCGGTCACGCTGATACGTATCTCTGCACATCAGACGCCAAGTCAGGCCAATAATAAAAACGGTGAAGTAACTTATGGGTTTTATCAACCCCGAAATGACCGGAGAGATTAGAATGATGGACTTCTTGAATTAGTAATTCACGGAGGAGTCTGTAGGCGGGAACCCAGATACGGTCAGTACCGGCTTTTAGGAAATAGATTCATTTGGTCGTGGTGACTTGCTGGTGGAGGTTGCAGGTGAAAAAGGGGTCTGTGCTGTATTCGTGGGTAAATAGTCCGGTGAGCAGTGGGTTGGATTTTGCAAGGATGATGGAGGTGAGGTGGGCGGATGGTCGTGTCAGTGCGTCGGCGATGTTATTTGCCCCACGTTTGAACGTGATGGTGTAGTGGAAGTTGCTCTCGAGGAAGTCCAGCCAGCGAATATATCGTGGATTGAGGTTTGGCTGCGCGCGGAGGTACTGTAGGGATTTATGGTCTGTCCGTACTGTCACGTCGGCTCCTGTCAAGTAGCAGCGCCACACTTTAAATGCGTGCACGATGGCGAGCATTTCTTTGTCGTGGACGGGGTAGTTGCGCTTAGCTGCCTGCAACTTTCTGGACTCATATGCGATTGGTTGGAGTCCGTCGCCGAAATCCTGTAACAGTATCGCACCGATAACGAAATCACTAGCTTCCGTCAAGACTTCGAACGGTCGAGGTGGGTCAGCGATTCGGAGCATCGGGGATGACATCAGAAAAAATCTGAGTTCGTCGAAAGCAGTCTACTGTCTCTCCCCCCACTCGAACGTGGTGCCCTTCCGCAGCAGGCCAGTTAATGGTCCCATTATCCCTGCCATATTGGGGATAAACCGGCATGCGTAATTAACGAACCCAAGAAAACTTTGCAGCTCCTGCACATTCGTGGACGGCTTCCAGTCACGGATGGTGGTGATCTTCTTCGGGTCGATTTTAATGCAGTCCGCTCTGACTACGTATCCCAAAAAATCCAGTTCGGATTTTAGGAATTCACACTTAGAGCCTTTGGTGATGAGCCGGTGTTTCTGCAGCCGTTGAAAAACTTGGTCGAGGTCCTTGAAGTGCTGTTCCTGTGTCTTGCTGAAGATCAGAATGTCATCGAGATAGACAATGACACACTTGTCGAGTAGATCACGGAATACGCCATTCATGGTGAGTTGGAAATTTGAGGGCACGTTCGTGAGGCTGAACGGCATCACTGTGTACTCGTAGCTGCCATATCGGGTTCGGAACGCCGTCTTGTGGCAGTCGTCAGCGAAGACTCTGATCTGATGGTAACTGCCTCGTAAGTCAATTTTTTAGAAGAAGCAAGCCCCACGAAGTTGTTTGAGAAGATCGTCCGCGCGTGGGATTGGGTAGCGAGATTTGATGGTTCGCCAATTCAGTGCCCGGTACTCAATGCACATTCGCAGCCCTCCGTCTTTTTTGGGGGCGCTGCGAACGGGGACGTGCTGGGTCGAATGAACCCCTTCTCCAATAGGTAATCCAACTAGCCCCTCAATTCCGTGAGCTCGGGCTGAGTCAAGCGCCACTGTGTCCTGACGGTTGGCTGCGCGCCAGGTTCCAGGTCAATTTTGTGGTCTTGGGGGCACTCAAATGGCAATCCTGCTGGCAGAACATCCAGAAAAATATCCAGGTACTGTCGAATCAGTGCAGCAAGCTCGGCAGAGACACTGGCACAAAGCGTGTCAATGTCCTTTGGCGTGTCGTCGACCGTTGCTCCGGTCAGATGGACGATGTACAAATCAGCTCCCCGTTTAACTGCTCGATGGAGGGCGATGGCGTTGACACGTGTCAACACCGGATCCCTCCTGCGCGAGCACGGAAGTACGCGCCACCCATTTGCAGAGTGCACGCTGCATTCGCCAGTTGTCCAGTCGATCCTCGGGTTGTATTTTCGCAACCAGTTACACCTGAGAAGAATATCGCATCCGTCAAGCATCGTAGCCAGCATGGGCATGTTGAATCCAAAATCGTCGCCACACTTCATATGCACCATGCGCGCTCGTTCTCGAATTGCAAGTCGAGTCCCGTCCACCAGTCGCGCGTCAATTTCGGGTAAACACTTCTCCAACGTCAGTTTCAACGGCTTCGCTGTTGTCACGTGTATGAGGGTATGACTAGCCCCGCCCTCCACAAATTTCTTTATTTTTTTGCCGTTCACCTTGCCTTGAACCAGCACAGGTGATCTTCGGGTTCACTCTCGTTATTCGTCTGTAATTCCTGTTGTTCTTTCTCGCCCACTGCTGTAGTGCATCGGTTGCTGACGCCAGCTGGACACCTTCATCGAACGTTTTGGGCCGGGACCGCTGCAACTCGTAATGAATATCAAAATGCAGTCCGCTGATGTACTTGTCCCGCCTTTCCGCTTCGCTGAGGTCGTCCACTTGATCCGCAAGTGCCGAGAACGCAGTGTAATCTTGAACAATAGTCACCTGCCGCCAGCTGCGCAGCTTCATGCGAGCGTCGTTTGAGGCAGATGAGTGCTCAAAACGAGAACACCGTTTGGCGAAGCTCGGTGTTCTACGGGCGGCAGTCGTGTGACTGCGGACGTGTTGGCGACGTAGGGATGAAGGAGGCCGACGTGGAATGCGTCGTGAATGCGCCACTCGTCCGGTAGTAATAATTTCGCCGTGACAGGTGTCACCATCTTGAGGATGCGGAAAGGCCCACATAATCTTGGGCGGAGTTTTGATGGCAGGGGCAGGCGGAGGTTCTTCGTCTCGAGAAGGACTAGTTGCCCAGCGGCCATCGTAATATTACACCGATGAAGGCCGGTATAGTGTCGAACCGTAGTGTTGGACTTTCAAATAAATGCAATAGCTTTTTCCCATGCGGTCTGTAAGTCGTGAACGAATTGCTGGGATCGGGGCACTGGGTTGTCGATGTTTGTCGTCGTGGGAACGGTGGGATCCAACCCGTAGTTGAGGAAAAATGGTGAGTGAGTAGTCGTTGTGGATGGGGCGTTGTTGTAGGCAAATTCCGCCATGAGCAGGAATTCCTCTCATCGGGCGGGGTCGGGGCAGTTGGTGCGTATCAGTTGTTCCATGGTCTAATTGGTTCGCTCGGTCTGCTCGCCGATTTGTGGGTGGTAGGCGGACGAGAATTGCAGGCGGGTGCCGTACTATTCCCATGTCTTTTGCCAGAACTTGGATGTGAATTTGGGGTCGCGATCGCAGATGATCGCCGATGGTAGGTCGTGGAGACGAACAACGGTGGAGATGAAGAGTTTGGTTGTTTCTTCAGCAGTGATTGTCGTGCGACAGGGTGCGAAATGCGCCATTTTCGCCAAGCGATCGACGACAATGAGGATGGCGTCGTTGCCAGTTGCGCCGGCCGGAAGTCCCATGTTGCGTTGTCACGTGGTGCCACGAATTCTGGTGTGGCTCGAGCGGTTGCAGCAGTTCAGCTGGCCGCTGTCGAGAGGACTTCATCCGCTGGCAGGTCGGGCACGCCGAAACGTATCTCTGCACATCAGACGCCGAATCTCACTAATAATAAAAACGGTAGGGTAATTTATGGGTTTTGTCGACCCCGAAATAACCTGAGAGGTTAGAATCATGGACTTCGTAATTCGCGGAGGATTCTGTAAGCGCGAACCCACATACGGCCAGTACCGGCTTTGAGGATATAAATTCCCTTAGCTGTGGTGGCTTGCTGGTGGAGGTTGCGGGTGAAAAAGGGGTCTTTGCAGTATCCGTGGGGAAATAGTCCGATGAGCAGTGGGTTGGATTTTGCAATGATGATGGAGGCGAGATGGGCGGATGGTCGTTTCAGTGCATCTGCGATGTTATTCGCCCCACGTTTGTACGAAATGGTGTAGTGGAAGTTGCTCTCGAGGAAATCCAGCCAGCGAATCTGTCGTGGGTTGAGGTTCGGCTGCGCGCGGAGGTACTGTAGGGATTTGTGGTCTGTCTGTACTGTCACGTCAGCTCCCGTCAGGTAGCAGCGCCACACTTTGAACGCGTGTACGATGGCGAGCATTTCTTTGTCGTGGACAGGGTAGTTGCGCTCGGCTGCCTGCAACTTCCTGGACTCATACGCGATTGGTTGGAGTCAGTCGCCGAAATCCAGCGCCGATGGCGAAATCGCTAGCGTCCGTCAAGACTTCGAACAGTCGAGATGGATCAGCGATTCGGAGGACCGGGGGTGACATCAGAAAAGCAGGCTGCTGTCTCTCCCCCCACTCAAATAAAGTTCCCTTCCGTAGCAGGTCAGTTAAAGGTCATGTTGTCCCCGCCATATTGGGAATAAATTGTCGGACGCAATTAACGACCCTGAGAAAACTCTGAATCTCCTGTAAATTCGTGGGCGGCTTCCAGGCGCGGATGGTTGTGATCTTCTTCTAGTTGATTTTTATGTCGTCCGCTCCAACGACGTGTCCCAAAACTTCATGTTCGGATCGTAGGAACTGGCATTCAGAGCCCTTGGTGATGAGTCGATTCTGCTGCAGCCGTTGCAAAACCTGGTCGAGGTCCTTGAGGTGTTGTTCCTGTGTCTTGCTGAAGATCAGTATGTCATCCAAATATATGACGACACACTTGTCGAGTAGATCTCGGAACACGCTGTTCGTGGTCAGTTGGAATGTAGAGGGCCCATTCGTGAGGCCAAAAGGCATCACCGTATACTCGCAGCTGCCGTAGCGGGTTCGGTACGCCGTCTTGTGGAAGTCGTCAGCGAAAACGCGGATTTGATGGTAACTGCCTCACAGGTCAATCTTGCTGAAGAATCGAGCCCCGCGAAGTTGGTCGAGGAGATCGTCCGTGCGTGGGATTGGGTAGTGAGATTTGATGGTTTACCGATTCAGCGCCCGGTAATCAATGCACATTCGTAGCCCTCCGTCTTTTTTGGGCATGAACAGAATGGGTGCTGCGAACGGGGACGTGCTGGGTCGAATGAACCCCTTCTCTAGTAGGTAATCCAAATGGCTCCGCAACTCCGTGAGTTCAGGCTGAGTCAGCCGCCAATGTGTCCTGATAGTTGGCTACGCGCCAGGTTCCATGTCAATTTTATGGTCTAGGGGGCGCTCAGATGGCAATCCAGCGGGCAAGTCATCCGGAAAAATATCCGGGTACTGTTGAATCAGCGCAGCAAGCTCGGCAGGGACATTGGAACAAAGTGGGTCAATGTCCTTAGGTGTGTTTTCGGCCGTCGCTTCGGCTAGATGGACGGCGTACAAATCAGCTCCCCGTTTAACCGCTCGCTGGAGGGTGATGGCGTTGACACGTGTCGACGCCGGATCCCGCCGCGCCAGCACAGAAATACGCGCCACCCATTCGCACAGTGCACGTTGCATTCGCCATTTGTCCAGTCGATCCTCGGGTTGTATTTTTGCAGCCAATTGTGTCCGAGAAGGATGTCATAGCCGTCCAGCGTTGTCGCCAGCATGGGCATGCTGAATCCAAAATCGTCGCCACATTTCATCCACACCATGCGCTCTCGTTCCTGAATCGCAAGTGGCGTCCCGTCCACCAGTTGCGCGTCAATTTCGGGTAAACACTTCTCCAATGTCAGTTTCAGCTGCTTTGCTGTTGTCACGTGGATCAGGCTGTGACTAGCCCCACCCTTAAAAAAAAAAAAAAAAAAAACAAAAAAAAAACCAAAAAAAAAAAAAAAAAAAAAAAACCCCATTCACCTTGCCTTCAACCAGCACAGGGTGATCTTTGGGTTCGCTCCCGTTATTCCTCCGAGTGGGGACGATAGCATGTATCGGGACCACAACTTGGTGGGAACGCTGAAGTTCGGGCGACAAAGCCTCGTCAGTAGGGGGCCCGTCTGCTACTGAATTCTCCCATTTCTTGGCTTCTCCTTGTCGTTCTTCGTCTTCTTGGGCGCCGTCTAGGAGTACTTAGCTTGGTGGCCTGGCTTGTCACATCGATAGCATAGCGCGTGAAATATTTCATCGGGCGCTCACACGCCATTGATCGTGGGGTGGGGAGACTGTCCACGAAAACGACCAACATCCCTGTTGTTCTTTCTCGCCCACTATTGCAGTGCATCGGCTCCTGACGCCAGCTGGACAGCATCATCAAACGTCTTGGGACGGGACCGCTGCAACTCGTAATGAATATCAAAATGCAGTCCGCTGATGTATTTGTCCCGCCTTTCCGCTTCGCTGAGGTCGTCCACTTGGTCCGCAAGTGCCGAGAACGACGCAGTGTAATCTTGAACAGTAGTCACCTGCCGCCAGTTGCGGAGCTTCATGCGAGCGTCGTCTGAGGCAGATGAGTGCTCAAAACGAGCTCGCACGGCTGTGCCCCACTGTTTCCACGTGCGAATCGTGGTCGTACCGAATATTGTTTCTGCCTGTTGGTTTGAAGAATCCAAAGTCCCGTCCTTCGCCTGCTTCACGTTTGCCAAAGTCCCAATTGCCAACTATCGTCGCCACCAATCCAACGCCGGTCCTCGGAGCAGCGACACGGCATAATTAATGTGTGCGTCGTCTGTATGCACACTTGCCACCGTGAAGAACAACTCCATGCTGAACAACCACCCTTGCACCGTTGTCTCCTTGTTTGAAGGGTTTAACGGGGGCGGCGTGGCCGGCTTGAGTTTAATCTTTGTCACTGTCACAGTGCGCACGTCGTCCTGCTCCAACTCCCGTGCGAGCTCGTCGAGGACGGTTTCGCTCGCCGCGTCATCGGCTTCTTCCTTGACATCATCCTTTGTGACTCCAGGCGACTCCTGACGTGCTCTACCACGCGTCTGGCAAAGCTCGGTGTTCTCCGTCCGAAGTCTCACGACTTCACTGTACAAACTCGCCATCTGGGCTTGCATTGCCTGCATCTGAGCCATGACCTCGTCTAGCTGGGCCTGAGTTATGATGCGAATGCTACGCCTTTCGAGCAAGGGGAAGGCCATGGTAAGAAACCAAAGGGGGCGCAAACCCTATCGTAGTTGTGTGAGCTAATAACTCTAGCTCACGGACAACCGCTTTGCAGCCCCGTAGGGTTAACCACGCTTTGGAAATAAACTACCCTGAGAAAGCGAGGTGAACCAGGAAAGTAG